AGGTATGACTGTCAATGAATCACAACATGTGATCTATCCAACAGCACCCCTCCCAGATAAACACTCTTATTGTGAAGGTATACATCCTGCTGACTGTTGCTTTVGGTCACGGTTCTGATTTCCCACAATGCTTTGTGTCTGCTTACGTAGCAGGAAGGCAATGTTTAGAACTCCCTGTCCTAGTAAAAACAGTAAATGTTTGTAATCCATACTAAAATTTTTTATGTATTGATTTATTTTACTTTACAATCGAAGCTTCTTTTTTWAAAAAAAAAAGTTTAAACGCTGGAGCTCAATACTTGACGTAACTGGTCGAAGCAATCGGCCAATGGTGTTGGAGACTCAGAAATGATTTAAAGATGTTCTGCTGATGAAGACTGACATCTAGTGGTCAACTGGAGTAACTACATGGAAAACTTTAAAATCCAAGCTCTTATTTTGAAGAGAAGATAGTTTCCTGTTCTCCCTGCTTTCGTTTCCCGTCAGAAATCAAATCCGTCATGTACCCAGAATGCATCACTTCAGTTTTCCAATAAACAGTTTTAAAATTACTTTATTGATGCTTCTTTAATGAAAAATCTACAACAAACAAAAGAAAAAGACAAAGAAGCAGCTGAACTAGCAATCCTCAACAACTTTTTAATTTTTACACCAGGAGCCAAACGGTGCTTGTAGGAATAAGCTGTAAAAGGGATCATACATCACTAGTTGGTAGTGTTGTGCATATATTGTACATGAATTATTGCCAGCTAGTAAGTGTCAAACTGAACTTGTGCCTTAAAATTAGCTTCTGCTAGTTTTTCTATGGCATAAGCACTTTTGAAGTTGCAGACCTAAATATTTTCATAAGCACTTTAGAATTTGAGGAGCTAATTTTCGGATTAGCACTGCCCACCACTGCCTACATTTATCACTGACTGACAAAAGATAAAAGCTGGTAGATAATTTTTTTGCCTGTGCCTGCTTTGAAATGAAAACACATTTGCCGAATAAGTCCAGAAATTTTAAAAATTTGCTAAAAATTCAAATTAAAGTTGGATGGAAGCATGACTAATGTTGCTGCTACAATTGAAAAAAAGGCCCCTTGAGTTGTGGTAAAGGTAGCTTAGATACAATCARTGACTCCACCCCTTAGCCAATCAGTGACGAACAGTGTTCTGACATCACATTTTGGTGTCAACTGGGACCGCTTGGAAACACAACGAAGTAGGTACTAAAAAAGGTCCGGTTCCATGAATCTGGCCTGGAAATGGCTTGGAACCGTACCGACACCACACTAAGTGGCACTAGTGGAAAAGCGGCAATAGATTACTGCCTCTGGTACAGGAAGCTMTGTATGTGCAGTGAGATGCTACTGTTTGTGTGCAAAATGCACAAGGTTTTATTTAAACCCATCTTTAAGAGTATTGCTGCTGTTCTCACACATGATGCAGTGTTACCACTAATCTGCAGTCAGTCTGAAATGTTCAGACAAAAAGCCAAACCTTCCCCTCAAGTTTGTTCGTTGGCTGATGTGGTTACGGTTCCCTACCTTCAGTGGGAGAGGCTGTTGGTTTTGCTGAGCAGACAAAAATGTAACACCAAGCACATGTCTATGCAGCTCATGCTTATAGTCTGTCTGTGAATGCTAAGATATACACAGATAAGATGAGCACTAATGCTCCTGTGTAAACAATGTTTAGCTAATATTTTAGATGGGACAAAGACACAAATATAAGTTAAAAAAACTAGCTTCCACAATAACAGTAAGTGTGACAAGTCCGATGACTCAGGTGGTAGTTTTAAATTTCAGTACACCCCCACCCCGACACACACTGCGTCTTGCTAGCTTCACAGAGACTTTGCATTGACTTCYATTAATTTCTATAGCCTAACCCTAAATCTAACCTAAACTTTATTCATACCATAGTCCTAAACCCTAACCCAAAAACAGCATTTTACATTGCCAACCTCAAAAGGAACAATGGGTCCTCACAAGGTAGTATATTAAGGGAAAATAAGCCTTGCAAGGTAGCACATATTAGAACACACAGACACACACACACTTGAAGACATTTTTACAGTAACCGTGTTTCTTTCCAGTTGTAAAGTGAATTTTTATCGAGCTTTTCAAAATTTGCAAAAAATTAAATAAAAATTCTAATCTAGACTGTTTCCATCTAGTTTCCCTCTCGACTGTTCGATGCGAATAAACGAGGCTAAGCAAAGCGTGATTACGTCAGACGAGGCTACACAACGCATGATTATGTCAGACGAGGCTACGCAACGCGTGATTACGTCAGACGAGGCTACGCAACGCGTGATTACATCAGACGAGGCTACGCAACGTGTGATTACGTCAGACGAGGCTACACAACGCGTGATTACGTCAGACGAGGCTACGCAACGTGTGATTACGTCAGACGAGGCTACACAACGAGTGAATACATCAAACGAGGCTACGCAACGTGTGATTATGTCAGACGAGGCTACGCAACGTGTGATTACATCAGACGAGGCTACGCAACGTGTGATTACGTCAGACGAGGCTACACAACGTGCGATTACTTCAGATGAGGCTACTCAACATGTGATTACATC